CGGAATAGTCACAAGTTAATGCCAAACTTTTGCAGACTCTCTAAGTCACAAAAGTGTGTCGATTTTGCTGCTCTTAAATTCTATAATAAATTGCCAGCATGGGTAACGCTGCTCTCGGTGGGAGTTTTTAAGGTGGCGGTCAAGCGGTTCTTGCTGACAACGGCTTTTACTCCTCTTCGGAATTTCTGGACCGCGACCTCTCAGAGGAAGATTTTAATATATGTATAACCTATTTAGTCAGACTTGGTAGTATCGGCTGTAATGAATGTTAATGTGTATCGGTACCGTATGTATTAATTTTTTTTTGACTTGATGGGTGTAAAACAAATTTGTAATTGCATTAATAAATTCTATTGTATTCTATTCTTTACCTATAACGACTTTTGTTGTAGCGCCGAGGTCGCTTGCGGCTGAGGTGCAACCTCAATCATGCTTAATCTTTAATTATCTCCATTCTAAGACTACTGTCGCAAGCAACCTCAGTTTATAGTCTATTAATCGGCGAAGATTATAGCAGAGATCGCTTGCTGCCGAGGCACTACGTAGACCCCACTTTGCCTTTAACAATTTTTATTATAGCGCCGAGGTCTCTTGCAGCTGAAGCACAACCTCAATCGTGCTATACCTTTAATGGTCTCCATTATAAGGCCTCTATCGCAAGCAACCTCAGTTTATATCTATATTGATCGGCGAAGATTATAGCCGAGGTTGCTTGAGGCTGAGGCGTAACCTCAATCGTGCTTTATCTTTACTGATCTCCATTGTAATGTCTCTATCGCAAGCAACCTCAGTTTATATATCTAGTGATCGGCGAAGATTTTACCCGAGATCGCTAGCAGCCGAGGCATTACGATTTTTATTATAGCGCCGAAGTCGCTTGCGGCCGAGGCGTAACCTCAATCGTGCTTTATCTTTACTGGTCTCCATTATAACGCCTCTATCGCAAGTAACCTCAGTTTATATATCTTGTTGTAAAATTAAATCCATTACCTTTTAATCATTATTATTTTTTAATCAATATTATAACATTGGTTTAACTTGGCAACGGTAGGTTGAGCGTGGTGATGCAGTGAAATGCAACACTTGTTTTTCATGCATTGGACGTAACGCCGACGATTTGTCGATCGATAGAAGGTAAGTTGTTGTTGTAAGGTAAACATTGTGTTAGCCAATAATATTTATACCCAAATGTTAGCCAAGCATACTTACACCCATGTACGACGCATTATTTTATTGTCGACTTGTACGCTCGAGTCGTTTGGGAGGTTCGGGAGTTCTGTTATGAATGTCGTTCGAGAGACACGTATTTTTGTAGTTTGGTTCTTAGTTTGGTTCAGTTGGCATTGATATCTACCAAAAAAAAATGCTTAAAAGAGTTTTTTTCTTCAAATCTAAAACGCACTTGTTATTTTTATATAAAAGAGGTTTTACCTGTCAGACATCTTGTACGCACGTTGATTCATCCAGTTGTGTTAATAGTTCGCTTGATCCTTTATGATCCGTTAATTATGATGATGTTTTTCGGTTGTTCTACAATTGTTAGTTTCAAAAAACAAGTAAGTGCTTATTCAATTTACAATTTATAACTCTAACTTTGTTAATCTCTTGTAGCAATAAAAAATGCTCTGAGGAAGGTTACAATAAATAACCGAAATATTAGCTTTTTAAAAAGTTGTTTCTTTAATTAAAACCTGGACCGTACACCCCGAATAGTCGCATTTACTTGTTGCTCACTTGTATCGGTCGTAGATACTTCTTTCTGCATGGAAATAATACCAGCCAGATATTACCAGATTCCGATGGAAAAGAATAGTAGTCAGTATACAATATTCGCTACGAGAGAAGGATTGTATGAGTTTACAAGAATGCCTTTTGGGTTGGTCAATGCCCCGAGCGTCTTCAACAGACTTATAAAGCAAATCGAGAGGAAATTGGGTAAAAAGGTAATAACAGTTTATATGGACGATATTTTGATAGCGAGTAAGACTATAGAAGAAGGAAAAGAAAGCTAGAAAGAGTATTAGAGGTATTAAAAGAAGAAAATCTGACATTAAACTTGAAAAGTGTAAGTTTCTGATGCAGAGAGTTGATTATTTGGGTTTCGAGGTGAGTAGCGATGGCATTCGGCCAGAGGAATTGAAGATTGATGCTGTAAAGGGATTTAAACGACCTTGTACATGAAGTACGTCAATTCCTGGGATTATCTGGATTTTTCAGAAGATTTATTTTGCGGTATGCAAAACCTTTAACAATCTTGACACATAAGAACGTTGAATGGCATTGAAATGAAGATCAAGAGAATGCTTTTCAGAGAATAAAAGAGGAGTTAGGAAAACGACCCATACTTGCGTTATATGATCCTTATGCAGAACTAGAAGTCCATAGCGACGCTTGCAAGACGTACCTGGGAGGTATACTTTTTCAGAAGGGCGATGAACCATTATGTGTGGTGTCTTACTATAGCCGTCAAACATCACCTATCGAACAAAAGTACCATAGCTACGAGCTAGAAGCTCTTGCTATAGTGGAATCTTTGGATCGTTTCCGCATGTATTTGCTTGGAAAGAAATTTCGAGTGATTACTGATTGTAACTTATTAAGAACCATAATAAAGCAAAAAGAGCCAATAGCTCGTGTTGCATGGTGGATACTTAAATTGCAGGAATACGACTTTGATATCAAATATCGTCCTGGAACAAGGATGGCACATGTGGATGCATTCAGTAGAAATCCGAATAATCCACCGAAAGATGTCGACACTGCCGGAATGGACGTGATGACCATTCGAATAAATGAAGATGATTGGCTTTTAACTATACAGCTTCAAGATCAGAAATTGAAAATGATTTGCGACACACTTAAAAGAAAACCAGAATCAAATGAAGTCAAGCAGATACATTTAGATTATAAATAAGATAAAAATAGACTATACCGAATAGTAGGAAATGAGTTGAAGGGGGTTGTACCGAAAAAGATACGATGGAGAGTAATAAAGAGTGGTCATGATGACATGGGACATTTTGGGTTCGAAAAAGTTATGGCATACTTGAGAAAAACGTACTGGTTCCCGAAGATGTCAAAAATTGTGAAAAATTATATAATAATAATAATAATAATAATAAAGGTGGAAAAGGTGAAGCTAGATTGCATAACATCTAGCGAATTGCTATTCCATTCCATACCGCAAATATGGATCATCTTGGACCTTTTCCAAAGAGCGCAAAGGTTCATATTTTAGTTTACATCGACAATTTTACAAAGTATGTGTATTTGAAAGCTGTCAGGGACACGAAAACAAAGTATGTCCTTCAAACCTTAGATGAGATAACTGGTATCTTTGGACCGCCGAACAGATTGATAACCGATAGAGGCACGGTTGAACGCTATAATCGTACTGTAACTACTGCTATAACCACTTCATACACTAGAGAAGATGGAAACGATTGCGTTCTTCATCTAAGACGTATTCAATTCGCTATTAACACAATGGTTAACAAGACAACAGGAAAATCCGCACATGATTTGTTGTTCAGTTATCATCCCCGTAATGGACTACAAAACAAGTAGCTCTTAGCGCTAACAATAGAAGATGACAAGGAAGATTTGGATGAAACTAGAGAAGAGGCTTTACGGAGAATTCAATCAACACAAATGCGCCAGAAAGAACGTTTTGATGCCCGCCATCAAACCCCACAACAATATCAAGTTGGAAATTTGGTTTTACTTCGAAAAGAACCTTCGACGACTGGAGAATCTCGGAAATTGAAGCCAGTTTACAAGGGTCCATATCAAATTAAATCTCTGTTAGGCAATGATCGTTATATGATTTCAGATATTCCTGGTGCTGAAAGAACGCAACGTACTTTCAGTTCCGTGTTTTCGACTGAAATTGTGGTGTTCTCCATACGATCCACAAGAAATTGAGGGCGATTCCAGTGGCAGCGAGGCCGAATGTTAGCCAACCATACTTACACCCATGTACGACGCATTATTTTATTGTCGACTTGTATGCTCAAGTCGTTGGGGCGTTCTATTACGAATGTCGTTCGAGAGACACGTATTTTTGTAGTTTGGTACTTTTATGCGAATATAATTAAGTTAAACGTGAATAACTACGAAGCCTAACAATCGTAATAAAAAAGTCAGTTGTGTCGTCACAGCGATTTCATCTCTCCATTTCTTTCTCAAAAAAACCAAGAACCCTTTGGTTCACAACAATCTAGTGATCGGCGAAGATTTTAGCCGAGATCGCTTGTTACCGAGGCTCTACGTTGATCCCACTTTGCTTATAACGGTTTTTATTATAGCGCCGAGGTCGCTTGCGGCTGAGGCGTAACCTCAATCATGCTTTGTCTTTAATGGTCTCCATTATAAGGCCTTTATCGCAAGCAACCTCAGTTTATATGTGTATTGATCGTCGAAGACTTTAACCAAGGTCGCTTGCGGCCGAGGTGCTACCTCAATCGCTCTCTTTTCTTTATAACGGTCGGCCGGTCGTAAACTTGGTTAAAATCTTTTGCTACCAGTAAATGTATAAGTAAATAAAATGTATGTATAACTTTATAAATCCAACAGTTCGATTCGAACAATATTTTTTATCCCCGCATTCATTTTACTTAAAAAATCCGTTATTAAGTACGCCCTCGCAAGGCTGTGTGGCTATATTACGAGCTAAGTATACGCAACGCATATCATTATCTAGAATCGGATTATGAGGGATACTTAAAGTATATAAGGAGTATCTGATGATCTGTCTTTAGTTTTGATTTATAAGTTACGTGAAATCATTTCATGGATAGTTAGAAAGTGAAGCACCATGTAAAGTGTTATATGAACACTGAGAATCTTTTCTAAATCGAATATCCAAACCTATCTAGACAATGACAGGGAGAAAACTCAACAGCAAGGTTATTAATGATACAAAGAATAAGGATTCATTTCTTTAAATTTTGTTTTTATTCGTTCGTAATTGATTCACACAAGAATAGAATTTTTTTTGCTTAATGTCTCCTTCGATTTGTCCTCTTCTTCTTTTTCTTCTTTTTCATTTGAATAATACCACCACCCTTACCACCTCCTAAGGGATCGAAATCGTCATCTCCATAGCCATCATCGCCACCATACATATCAGTGTCGGGATTGTACAAGTCATAATCTCCACCACGACCTCCGTCACATCCACCACAGCCTCTTCCTCCACCACCAAGTCCGCCTCCACCTCCACCACCAAATCCGCCTCCACCCCCACCACCAAATCCGTCTCCACCGTCATAATCCTCTTCACCATCTCCACCTACATAATCTTCTTGATCAATAATTTTTCTCTTTTTGTTTCTTCTTTTTTTAACACTCCTTTTTAAACGGTTTAATAATACCGAACTTGGATCGTTTACCTTTTCTGGTAATTCACGTTGAATGTTTGCGGTTTCATAAATTAAATTAAACCAATCTTTAAAGCTTTCAAAAGTACCTTGATTTCCTTTGATGTCATCGTTCCCTTTGATTTTTGCGATTTCTTCAAAATTATTTTCCGCCAATTCCGTTAAAACGGATTTTTGGAGCTGGAAAAAAGCGATAAAAAAGAGGAGAAAAATTGATATCGATCCGTCCATATTGAACGATCAACTCAATTGCGATTAAATTAAATAAAAAGTGGCGAAACAATTTGTATTTAATTTTAATGATTTTTTGTTTTTCACCCACTCAAAATAAAACGAAACGATAAAAATGGAATTAATCAAAAATGGAATCGTAAAATTTTATTTAATCGCTAAATTCAAATCGAATCGGTCGACAAAGATATTTAAAAAATGATGCGATTAAAATATTTGCCGATTTTTGTTGCATTTTTTACGATCGCTTCCACGTTCGTTTTGAAAGAGAATCGCGGGGATGAGAAACGTTCAGAAAGTGAAATGATTAAATATATTCAAGCCTTAGAGGAGTTCTCGCCGAAATCGCAACAAGAAACGATTCAAAAGTATGGGGAGAAAGAAGAAAATAAAGTTAAAAACGATAACGAAAATAAAATGATGCAAATTTTAGTTCGACTTAATAATTGGCTTGGTAAAAAATAAATCTATTAAATAATTTTTTTTAATTAATTAAATTAATTTTTTGTGGAGATTTCCTTGAAGAAACATTAAAATCCGACGGATTGAATACAATACTTGAGAATTTCTTGGAGGGCGACCTTCAAGGCCGCTTTAAAAGGAGCCCGCATCGCGGATGGAGAAAAAGAGCTGTAAATCAGATTTAAATTGAAAGTGTATTGGGGTTAATGTTATTATTTTAGCGAAGCGACGATGAGGAGGCTGAAGATGGAGTTGGAGATGAAATCGGTGGGGGCGATGATGATGAAGCTGCAACAAAAATGCGGCGAAGATCCCGTAGAGGGCGCAATAACGGAAGGAGAAATCAATTTTAAATTTATTATTAATTAAATAATAAATATTAATTAAAAAAAAATTGTTTTTTAATTTTAAAAATATAAAAACCACTAAAAATGCAAATAAATTAATAAATATAAGTAATCGAGATAAAATGAATCAATTAAAACCGAAAAATCATAAAAACCCACATAATCAACACCCACTTATTACAAAACCTTCATTTGCAATGAAGATGTCAACAAAAATTGTTTTTTTATTAATCCTAAATATTTTAAAGGTGTTTTCGATGGAAATAAGTATCACGAAAGCGATTCATAATCGAATACATCATTTAGAGCCGAAAATTCGACAACACGATGAAGAGAATTTGATTCAAAAGCATTTAATTGAAGCGTTTAAGATAACTCCGGATAAAATTGACGAATTATTAACGAATCATCACCATAAAAGCGAATCGGTGATGAGTTTGCTGAAAAAACCGAGAAATATGATTGTTGTTTTGGGGCGGAAGAAAAGGGCTGCGCCAAACATTCAAACTCAAGTGATTAATAATAATAACAAATCGATGTATGTGAAGAAAGTTAATGGAAAAGTCGTGGAAAATCGGCCTTTGACTAAAAAGGAAAAGAAGGAGTTTGATAAAATGGTTAAAACGCACGTTCAAGAAATGTATAATTTACAAAAAACTATCAGTAATTATATGGACAAGACTTTTAAGAATATGTTCCCTAAGATGAGGAAGAGCACGAGAAAGTGTAAATATATATATTGGGGTTAATTAATTTAGATAATAATTAATAATTAATTTAGTGACTTCAAGGAAGGGTTCGAAAAAATCGGGATTTCTCGATAAGATTTTAGCGCCAGTCAAAATGATTTTTTCAAAGGGCAAAAAAGTTTTTGGGGGAGTTTTTAATCTTGTCAAAAAACTGCTTGGGATTGGTAAAAATAAAAATAAAAAAGAGATGGTCAGTGATGATGATGATGATGAGGACGATGATGAGGATGATGATGTTGAAGAAGATGATGATGGTGGTGATGATGATGATGATGATGATGGTGGTGGTGATGATGATGATGATGGTGATGGTGGTGATGATGATGATGATGGTGGCGATGATGAAGATGATGATGATGAAGATGAAGGTAAATCAAAACGGGGAAAACCATCTAAAAAACAAAGAAAAGATAAAAATCCCAAAAAAAATTCAAAAAGAAACAAAAAAAGCCATGAAAATGATACTAAAAAAACAAAACAGAAAATACTTTTAAATTAATTAATAATAAAAAATCATAAAATAAAAATTTAATTTCTTTCTTTATCGCAAAACAATTCTACAATCTTTTTTTTTTAAACAACCTTTTAAAACAAATTCTCGAAACAAGTGAATAACAACTAAAACTAGAGCTAAGAGAAACTGCACGGAAACTGTTTGGGAATGATTCTAATTCTAGGTGTAGAATTAGTTCTAGTACTGGTGGTAGTTTTAGTCGCAATTGCCAACACTGACTAATACAAGAATTAGAACTAACACTAGACCTACAACGACCAGGTTCATATGACTAAAATTGCATTATACAAATTTCTTAAAAACCCTTCTGATTCACATTAATTAGTTATGATAACATTTCCCCCAAAGTATCTTATACACTGTATAATATACAGGTTGATCAAAAATTGAATTACCGTTTCTTCATATTCGTTGAAAATTTTAAATAGAACACCCGATATTTTTTTAGTCTACCCGAAAGGGAATTTAATTCTACAAATTATCTATAAACATTCCTATGGGTCAATAGGAACTTTCGAAAACCTTTTGTTCCAGCATCATGGTTTCAGTGCTTGAAACCGAGCTAGAGGTAGTGCTAGAACTAGAAACATTCGGGATTAGCCGACTTAAAAGACGCACAGCTAAACCCTAATGTTTCTCGTTGTTTTAGTGTTAGTTCTAATGCTAGTGTTAATCAGTGCTAGAAACTGACACTAGAACTAACACTAGTACTAGAACCACCTCTAGTCCTACGACTAGAAATATTTGGCTTTAGCCGTGCGTCTCTAAAGACGGCGGCTAAAATGTTCGTTCTAACATTAATGTTAGTCAGTGCTAGAAATCGAAACTAGAACTAACACTAACACTAGATCTACAACTAGAAACATTCGGGTTTAGCCCTGTGTCTCTAAAAACGTCTAAACCCGAATGTTTCTAGTTGGAGGTCTAACACTAGACCCTAGTTGGGTTTTAATACTAGTTAGATGAGGAGGTTTGATCCATGTCGAGCAGTTATTTTATACAGGTGTCTCACGTAACTGGTTCGTTAGAACATTTTTAGGTTCCACTATTCGTAGAGGTTTGAAATTTTGGTAGCATGGGTTGTTCATTCTAAACTATCGATTTAAATTATTTTCAAAATGGCCGCCAGTTCCGGTCTACCGGATGTAGACCACAACTTCGTTATTTTAAATAATTAAAAGGTGTAATAAAAGCTATAGCATTCCATTTAAAATAACGAAGTTGTGGTCTACTTCCGGTAGACCGGAAGTGACGGCCATCTTGAAAATATTTTAGATCGAAAGTTTAGAATAAACCAACCCAACCCATGCTACCAAAATTTCAAACCTATACGAATAGTAAAGCTAAGGTTTGTTCCAGTTTCATCGTTTCAAAAATGTAACATGATGGAATGCTATATTTTATCAGATAAGAATGTGACGTTAACCGTGGAATTTTATTTCACAAGATATCCGGAAAGAAGACAACCGCACGTAAGAACCTTCAGTCGGTTAGCAGATTTAATAGATATTTGGTCCTTCCCCAAACCACATGCAAAAACATACCAAAATGACCTGCAAGAGAAATTGCAACAAGACGTCTGACCCAAACGCTACTGCTCCCGAATATGAAAGAAAAATAAGTATAAACCATACAAAGCGGGGCTTTGTAGATGATATTTAGAAAAATTAAATAATCTGCTGTTTGTTCAAAATGTTATCTGGACCGATAAAGTCTCTGAGTGTTCAAAGAAGATTGGGGTTCAATGTATGGTGTGCCCTTTTAGATAATAGAATTTTGGCATATAGTATCTACCATAAAAACTTAAACTCAGGGAAATACCTCAATATATTAAGGCAGCACATTGAGCCTTTGGACGACAATTTGCCACTAAATATGTCTCAAATGATATATTTTCAATATGACGGAGCACCAGCACATAATGCCAGAGTT